TTGGGGTCACGGTGAGCCCTTGCTCCAGATGCGTTAGGCATAGTTCTGCAGCCCTTGAGAATCCAACAGCAGCAACAATCCCTTGTTCTTGCATTGCCAAGAGGTAAAACTATTTAAACGAAAATAAAATTCACACTTCCACAGTGAAGCTAGTCATGCAAAATGTTTTGCTCACTGTTTCCTGCTCCTGTATGTCTGGAGCTGCCTTTTTCTTTTATAAAGCCTCACGCCACAGGTATACAGAAGAGACACATCAGAGCTGTAAGAACATCAAATGGCTAGAGACATGCTGAAGATTGAAGTGGATAATACTCATCTCAAATTTCAGATGGCTAATATTCCCCCAACAGTGCTCACACCATTTTTGGAACCATCCACTTTAGCCTTAATACATAAGAAGGGGAATCTGGGATTTTGCAAGTGCCAGGTATCCAAATTTTCTCCAAAATGTCTGAATCGGCTTTTTAAATAAATTTATATCCTAACTGTTCTTCTGTTTTATTTGTTCCCTCTATTTTAAGCTCTCAGGTATTCATATTGCTGGAAAATTGACTGGCCCAGTATTCTTGTTCTCCAACAAGAAGTATCTCAGAGCTGGCATCCCATCTCTGACCTTGACAGCCCCCTCCACGATGACAAAGTATATCATGCCTGTGCTCATTCAGTCTCCAGCCCCTCTGATACAACTGCCAAAGGAGGTGCCAATCATCAGGGTATTTCCTTTCTGCCAAGGGCTGCCAGCTTGGCTAGCGTCACATTAGCAAGAGCCAGAGGATTGCTAGAACCTGGCCAGCAGAAGAGTTTCAATTTTAGCAGATCCATCCAGTAGCACATTATAAAACAGCAGCTTAAAGTCTAGCTGACTAATTAGGTCTCCAGCTTAGAATATTGATTTTGGTTTTAAATGCTTCTCTTTTTTTTGTCTTCTTTCCAGTCTCATCGACTGTCTCAGTCTGGGTTTAAATCGTGCAGCAATATTCAGCAGACTAAGTGGCTGTAACAGCAACTGCCCCTAGACACCTAGCGTGCTTGAAAAACATTAGGAAATAGTGTAAACGCTCTAAAAGGAGAGGATAGTCATTTTCAACAATTCAGCTTAAAACAACTTTGTTCCTGGCCCCGATTCTAGGAAGTACAAATAAACATTGGTGAACTCTGTTCCCAACTTTTTACATTCTACGACACCCATCAGCGCAGCAGCAAAGGAAAAGAAAAGAACACACGTTTGGAACAGATTTAACAGGCGTTTCACTCATCCAAATTGCCTTGAACATGGGGCCTCGAATCGCAGGGTAACATTGCCACCAGGCGGGCGATCGCTCCCCGTTGGCGTGCCAGCCTCTGTCCTTCGGGAGCTCTGGCAAAGCTGGAGGGGCCCGTGTTTCACTGGCCCCGACCCCGCTCAACAAGCGGGCATTGTTTGAACACCTGCGCCCCCCGCACAGCTGGCAGGGTGCCAGCAGCGCGGCTGGCCGCGGCTCAAACCGTGCCCTTTGCGGGCAGGGCGCCGGCGAAGGCGGGGGCTCCGTGGCAGAAAGCTGGCAGAGGGACC